TTAATCCCCATGTTAATTTCCTCCTTTCTTTCTGACGCCAACACTTTTATGTGGTTTTGACGCGTACGATGTGAGTGCATGACCCGTGAGTGCTTGTCATGGCTTTGCCGCTTAACATTTTCCCTTCTCTTCACAAATTCAACACTTCCAATATTATTTTTCGAAATTACTTTGATTTCTTTGTTTCTTTCCTCTCCGCTTAGCCCGGGGTTGCACGGGCTTTTACCGAGTGAATAACTTCACCCTCATGGAAATTTCGTGTTTCCCTCAGGCCGATAGCACTTGTGTGCGATGTGAGTGATTTCTTTAACAATGTCATAAAAACTCCCTTTTTCGAAATTTTTTCTTGCATTGGTGTGGTGTGGTAATTATTAAAGATGGGTGAATGCTCCGGTGTCGTCCTCGTCACTTGAGCATGGTTGAAAATTTAGTGGCCCGTCACCAAAAATTTTCGAATAGGCAAACAGGGTGAATTTTAAAATCACCCACTCACTTTCCAATTCTTTCGTTGCAATTTTTTATTTCCCGGAAACGAAAATGTAGTTTTTTTAAAAATAGTTGTATGCTGAAAAAAAGACAGAAAGTATAAATTTTTCAAATTACAAAATTTCACTACTATTTTAATTCTTGGAGTAAAATTGTGAGGATTTATTGAAATATTCGACTCGGGGGAAAAAAGTTTCATGCAATTACCTTTATAAAAGAAGAAATTATTAAATGATTGATTTAAGTATTTTGAGTGTTTTATTAAAATTTGTTAAACAATTTTTTGGCTTTTTTTTAAAATCACTGATTCTAAAAGTTTTAAATTGAAAATTTCGAAGGCCATCGCCAAAAAACTCTGGAGTAGGTGAACAGTGCGACTTTTTAAAAATCCCTCACATTTTAATTCTTTCGTTGCAATTTTTTAGGCCCCGGAAACGAAATGTAGCTTTTTTAAAAATAGTTGTATGTTGAAAAAAGACAGAGAAGTAGAAATTTTTAAAATTACAAAATTTCACTACTATTTTAAATCTTGAAGTAAAATTGTGAGGATTTTTTGAAATGTTCGACACACGGAAAAATAGTTTCATGCAATTATCTTTACGAATGAAGAATTTATTAAATGATTGATTTAAGTATTTTGAGTGTTTTATTAAAATTCGTTCAAATGAGTTTTCGGCTTTTTATTTTTTAAATCACTGATTCAGAAAGTTTTAAAAATCATTTTTATATAAACGCAACGATATTGATTCATATGAGAAAAAATCATAAAATATGCAAAACAGCATTGTTTTGTAAAAAAAAAAAAGTTGTTTTTTTTCTATAAAATTCTTTAAAGAAAAATAGTTGTATGCTGAAAAAAGAACAGAAAGTATAAATTTTTCAAATTACAAAATTTCACTACTATTTTAATTCTTAAAGTAAAATTGTGAGAATTTTTTGAAATATTCGACACGGGGAAAAAAGTTTCATGCAATTACGCATTATTTTAAAGTAAACTATAATTTTTATGAAAGAGAACAAAAATTTCGATACTGATAAATATTTTAAATGAATCTCAGAAATGCGTTGAATGCATTTTAATTTTAAAAAAATATATTAATTTAAATCCATTATCAATAAATACTAATAAAAAAAATTCTACAGATAGCTCTTGAAACATTTGGATGTTTGATTAAACATATATAAGTGTTAAAAATCCACTTTTGGGGGAAAACCTAGTTATATGCTAACATTCACTGAAAAAAACATTCAAAAAGAAAAAATACTATTTGATAAAAACATTTAATTTTTTTAATTTTAATTTTATAGTTTTTCATTCCACTCTGTGTTAAAATTATTTAAACACGTATCTGCGAAAAAAATTATATTATACAAAACTAACTTATTAATTATTTTTAATAAAATTGATTAAAAATGCTCATTTAGCAATTAATTGTGACATACCATTTGCTTACATAACGGCAGCACTGAAAATGATGTAAATTTCAGATCAGTGGGGATGCAGCAAGTGAATTCAATCATTGAAGAAGAGAGAATTAATTTACGGGTGGAAAAAATAAGCAGAAATGAACAAAATCGAATTGTTGAAAAAGATAGAAATTACTTTGAATGATTAAAAATCAGAAAAAAACCTTTTAGAAGATTAAAAAAAAAAAATACATTATATAAAATAACAGAGGATCATGTTAAAATAAGTATTTATTAGTAAAATTAATTTACGTGGGAAAAATTAGCAGAAATGAAAAAAAAGAGATCATCGCCGATTCGAACTCGCAGAGACACGATTTGCTTTAAGGTGTAAATGAAGCGAAGCGCTAACCGATTGTGCTACCGGGACCCGTAGCGAAAAATGAAAATAGGCAACAATAATGAATGGGAGGACGAAAAAGTAATTTTTTCACTCCATTTTTTTTTTTTTTTTACTCGCCAAAGTTACTGATTTCCCCCTGTTTAAGGCAGAATTTTTTTAGTGTAACCCTTGAGTTAGATGTGGTCGAAGGCGAAACATGTCAGAAGTCTTTGGCGCAAAGCTAATTTTCCACGCCAATGTTTGGCTAAATGTAAAATCGCGTATTTTGAATTATTTTAAAAATCATTACCTTCATTTTAAGGGCATAGTTTTTACGTTAATGCTCTCAAACATCACCAACTATTTGCAAAAATAATGTACTTTGAAATAAAAAATGTACAAATTACTACTTTTTAATTTATTTCTCAGAAAAACGTAAGTTTACGAAAATCACAATTTTTTTTTTTAAATCCGTAATTTTGAAGCAATTTTTTCAATCTTCGTATATGTTACGGATAATATTGCTGTACACACGGAAAAAAGGTTTTGTGAGATTATCTTCATAAATGACGAAGTTATTCAATGTAAAGTAAAAATTAAGACTACTTTTTAAAAATTCTTTAAAAAAAAAGTTTGGGGAATTTTATTTTTTAAAGAAATGGATCTAAAAGAAAAAGGCGTGAAGTTAATTTGTGTAGAATATCGATTTAATAACATGAAAAGTAATTCATACCCAATGATTTAGAAATAATTTTCATAAAAACTCATCAGTTTTAACACTATTTTAAAAAATTCGAAAAAAATAGAAATATCGTTATTTTACAAAAAAAATTATACCGTGTCGTGGCGAAATAAATGATCTTTCCGATTCTGTAATTATTTTTTGTCTAATTTCGACACCGAAAATTAGATGACAATTTTAATATGGTGGAAAACGTAAGATTACCGCTCGGCCGAAACGGAAGGGAAGTTCCGCCAAGTAAACAACCGGCAGGAGTAAAACAATTAGGCGTTTTAAGGTTTTTAATTAATATCTTTTTAACTAATTACAATATCGGAATATAAATGGGCAATACGGCTTCCCCGGACAATTCCCGATCTTTTGGTACCTTCCGCGACTTTCTGCGTGGTGCGGTTTGTGAGAAGATAGACGCACATACATACATAGATAGATAGATAGATACGTTTGTTTACCTTCGAATTTTAATAGTGTAAGATATTTGCTAAATTGTGCTGTTTTTTACTGAAATACAGGTTAGCTGTAAGATGTAAAAAGAAGTTTAATTTGCAAATGTATAATAACATACATAAAACAGATTTTAAACTAAGCTACAGAAATAACTTTCTTATGATATGAAAGCAGGTTACATGTGGTTATGTCATTTGAGAATTTGTGTAAGTTCGTGTCATTCTTGTCACTTAAATCATGGTTCAAAATTATGAAGTCCTGTTGCCAATAACCATTATTGTTTTGAAGTGTAACTAAATTTGCCTTGTATGTTAGTATTCTTTCATTAATTCTTCTGAAAAGTAAATGAACATCTTTGTTTTGGTTAGATTCCTTAAGAGCACATTACTTTAAAAAAAATGCAGATTAGCTTTTAATTTACTTTGAATGGAAACTTATAAAAAATAAGTATTCAGTCTTGTTTTTACCAAATATATATAGGTACTATCACTTTTTTATATGAAGTACTGAGAAGCTAATTTAAAATAATATATTTCATTATTGACTTATATTTTTCCTTATCCTCTTTTTTATAATTTAAAATTTCTGTTACACCTGCTTTTATGTTTTAATATAAATTTTTAAAGGAAATAATTGCCTTATTGTCATATAAATAGGAATTATATTATTAACACATACTTAAGTTTCACGTAAAAAGAAATTGCTATTTTAGTTTTGAAATACCCAGTTTCCACTTCCTCATAAGATTAATGATTGACAAAAATGAACTAGTAATTAGTAAATGAAGGTTAACCGTCATTTACTTAAGCTAGGAATTAAATTATTTTTTTAAAAATCCATTTTAGTATTATCAATTAAAATTATCAGCTTTTAATTTGATGAACTAATTGTTTCTTGCATATTTCTTTTTTTATTTATCTAACACCCGTGCTTGGTTTCTTGACCATTTGACGCCGAGCTTCCCAGTACCCACTTATGACATCATCAATCAAGTGATATTTCCTTGTATTACTGAATTTCTCAATATGCTTAAGTTTATGAGTTGGATATTTGAAAATAAAAACCGTCATGTTTGTTTGTGTTATTCTAAACATATAACGTAAAAAAAAAACTTTATAAAGAAATGTCTATTAATATTTAATCTTTTCTTTTTAATTAAAACATATTGACTTTTTATTGATTAGTTTTTCTAATCTTAAGAGAGAAATAATATGAAAATTATCAAACTCTGGGGTAACTGTAATAAAATTACTTTAAGAACTGTGTATTTATTTTTAACAAGTAATTTTTTTAAAAAATTATTTTGTTACTTTTTATTAAATAGTTACAATTAATATAAATATGTATATACATATGACAGAATCACAATATTAAGTGACAAAATAGAAAGCGATTTTCCTTGCAATTTTAAATTTACTTTTCTATATATGCTGTTGAACTATTTTTGTTTGTTTGTTAATATTTATTCATTCATTAAATTTAATTATTCTAATAAAATAGTATAGAAAGAAGAAATCATTTTGTCAGAAATTAGGCCATCCCAGGTGGGATTTGATCCCACGACCTTGGATTAGAAGTTCAAAGTGCAATCCATTGTGTTACTGAGACACAACGAATGATCTTCCTTTCTATATACGCTGTTGGACTATTATTTTTGTTTGTTACTATTTATTCTTTTTTTAATTTAATAAAAGAATTAACATTTGAAAAAACTATTAACATCAAGCGTCATCCACTACAAGTTTTAAAAAATGTATTAGTAAAGTATTCAATCATTAATAAAATACTTATAAAGTATTTTATTAATGATTGAAAATTTGAACAATATATATATATAGGGAGAGAGTTAACTGACAGTAGGAATTGAAAAAGAAAAAACTGTGTCTTGTATTTGATTTTTATTTGTGTAAACTAAACAGTGTTCCCTTTTAAACTATCAGAGATATAGGTAATTATTTAGGATAAAAGGTAAAATAAATTTGGAAAATCACTTTTTTTGGAAAAAGGATAAATTGCTATTTAGGGAAAATTTATCAATTAAGAGTTAATTTAAGTTGAATACTTTATTTTTATGTAATAGGACAAATCTATATTTTTAAATGGGTAAACTTTTTTCCCCTTTGAAATTCTAATGAATAAAAACAGGGGATGGGGAGTTGTGTACAAAAGTTAAATATTTGTATTTCTTATAAATAAACATATAAAAAAAATTATTTTAAATTAGAGGTTTTCTAAATATTTAAAGTGAAGAAGTACTTGCATTCTTACTTAGCCACCAGCATTATTATATCAGCACTGTAACTTTTTTTCTGTTTTAAATACTTTATTTTTATTAATTTTTAGGATTTCTTCAAAACCACCTATAATCAAGGGTGAAAAGAAAAATGCTCACAATGCTATTGAGAGGCGTTACAGAAGCAGCATTAATGATAAAATAATAGAGTTGAAGAACATTGTAGTTGGCACTGATGCAAAGGTAATGATTTTTTTTCTCTATATTTATATATATATTCGTTTTTAGAATAAAAATCATTATTAACAGTTGTAAAAGTTGTATTCATGTGTTTATTTTATATATTTTAGCAATAATTTTTTCAGTTTGTTTATATGTATGTGTATAGTTATTTTCTAATTTATCAGTTAAGACAAAAAAAAAGTTTAAATTATTGTCTTTGGTTCAGCTATGTAATATTAAAAGATGTTTTCATTTGAAGTGTAAAATGATAGGTTTAAATTGTAATTTTGGTATTGAAATTTTAACCTACAATTTATTATATTTAATAGTTTTAAGCCATCTATTTATTTTCTGAAGAAGTCAGTCAAATTGACTATTAAATTAATAAAACATAATGTCAATAGTTGCTTTAAATAATTTAATAAAATACTTTATTTGCATTCAATTTCCCCATAATTAAACTGAATTGTTTTTTTTTTTTGTTTTTTTTTGTTTGTTTTTTTCATTACAGTTAAACAAATCTGCTGTCTTACGCAAAGCTATCGATTATATAAGGTTTCTTCAGAATTCTAATGCAAAATTAAAACAGGAGAATTTAGCTCTAAAAATGGCTTCGAAAAAGCATCGTAAGTGTGATCATAATGTATTCCTGTATTATTTTGTTTTATTATATGAAATCAAGGTTTTTTTAAATAAAAGATTTTGTGTTTTTAAAAAATTTATAAATTTTGATGGAATGCATTGTTTAACATTAGAATAATTTGTATTATATATATTTCCTGCCAAATGTGTATAATTACTACTAATGAATGTAATCGTGAATAGCAAAGTTTAAAAAATTATTTCCCTGAAGAGATTTGTTTTGTTTTAATTAATTTAATTTAAAAAGTCTTTATTGTCCATTTGTAAGTTCATGACTGAATTTTTTACTTTGAGAATTATTTATTATGACATTTTTCTTATCTTCCTCAGTTTTGAGTTGAAAATAACAACTTATAATATTTTATAAAAAAGTATTTAAACATTTGTTTACAATACTATAAAATAAAAAGGGGACTTAAAACTTTTTTTTCTTAATTTAAAAGTATAGGGCCTAGAGAGACATCACATGATGGCTTTGTCATTTCAGAATTGGTATTTGATTTGAAGAATGGTCCTTCTAATTTATTCTTATTTTGTATTACTCATCTACAAATCTCATATTAAAAATAAGCATAATTAATAAGTTTTGTTAGCATTATAATGTGTTATAATATTTTAAGTTTTCACATGAAATATCTTCACACCATTTCTCAATACTATTAAGTACAAGAACACTTACCATTTCTCAATACTATTAAGTACAAGAACACTTTGTAGTTGGTATAACAAACAGTGATTAACCCCTTCTCTGTCGGATTTTTTTCCGAATTTCCGGTTAAAAAAAAAAAACCCCTTTTTTTTTATTGCTGAAATTTAATATGTACTCTAGTCTAAATTTAAAAATGCAAATTTTTTTTGTCAGAAAGCAGTTTTTTCTAGACTTACGGGTGGTCCAATATATTATATCTCGTCTACTGATCTCCAGTTTTCACTGCAATGCATCAAGATTTAGGCTTAAGAAAATATACTCTGATACTATATTTATTTATGTTATTGCTTTGAGGTTAATATTTGAGAAATAAAAGTTACACAAATATATATGTACATAAAAAAACTATTAAAATTATGTAAAAAATATTTCGGAAGAAAGGAGTAAACAATTTTTCATCATTTGACCAATACCACTGTTCAACTGGCTTTTTTACTTTGCCCTGCATGATCCAAATACACAATAAAATTCTGACCTCTTCCTTACAAGTTGCACGCCATTCCCGCTGCTTTGAATGCATTTTAGATTTCTGGGAATGAAAGCATTGTTCAGCATATACATTAGTTTCCTCCACTATCAGCTGGAACATAGAACCACCGAAAAAATACTCAAAATATTGAATCAAATTATCATCACTAAAGTTTACCAATATTCCAGGGTTTTTTCTGTAAAATCAAAAAGAGAAGTAGCAGGACACACTGTTTTTTCTTCTACCCACATCCACGCTGAGCTTAAATCATCATCTTCAGATTCACTAGACTCAGAAAAAATATCATCAGTTGATAAATCAGAGCTATCATCTTCCGAATTAGAAATATTAAATTCACTGTCCTCAGACTCACTCTCCGAATCCATCATAAAAGCAATTTTGACGTGTAAAAATTACACTAGCGAGGGCGAATTTATAGAAAGTACAAAATGATTCTGTTTTGATTCGAGTGGGAAATCTTGCTTGGAAAATTGTGAAAAAAGTAGTATTAGTTGCGCCAACTCTTAGAAATATTCGGAAATACAAAAAATAATCGCAGAATTCACAGAGGCGTCTGCGTAATGACCAATTCAATTTCAGTGATGCAATTTTTTCCTTCGTCGCATGACATGCGACGGCGACTATACGGGCACAAAATTGCCAAACGTATGAGATGCGATGCCGACAGAGAAGGGGTTAAGTCTATTCCTAGATTTGCTTTAAGGGGTTCTATATTGTTTGACCTCTGTAGTATATGCTGCCTCATATGGAATACTTGTTTTAACCATATGCTTTGGAAGGGACTCATGATTGAATGAGCAAGGAGAGATCATTTAAGGAAACAAATTTATCAAGTTTTGGATCAGGGTGGCAAAATGATCAAGGACGTATTTCTCCAACAACTTCCAATAATCTTATTTCTGTAGATGAGCATGAGTTGTGCTGTATCAGATCGGGGGCGTTTTTAACGTCCCTGGCGCCCCAGGTACTTCAATAGTTACGTCCCCCACCTCCTTCAGTTCTTACTTTTCCTGTTTTGTTTTGGGAGAGATTTTCCCTCAACTCTCTTACTCTTTTCCCTTTCTTTGTTTTTGCTGTTTGGAATACCTTTCCGTTATCCACCACCTGTCGACCCCTCCGTGTCCTGGACTGAAATAATAGTAGTTTGGTTTGGACGCTTTTGTTCATTTCTTACTTTACGGCATCACAGACCACCTACTATCTTGTAAATTAATGAAATCGTTTGCAATTACAGTATAGGGTATACATTATTTTATGAACTGTTTTCAACTTGTTAATTATCAACTTTTCTATCGCTTATCACTTTGCTGTTTTTTACTTTTAGCCATCCTTTTCTTTGTTTCTTTGTTAGGTCACTGTCATTGTACTTGTACAACAAAGGTTTACTTCAAAAAACAAATGATTTTTTCAAAATCATTAATAACATCATTGCAATCAATTTCCATAACAACATCAAACTGTTAAGCTTTTCATTTTCCATAGTGCATCTCATTTCAGTGTTTACTCTCTTTATGGCAGAAATGCTTCTCTCATGATTCGCTTGGGGGTAGTTTGTTTGCTGGAATTTTAATTTTTTTTTCCGCCCTCCAATTTTTTTACGCCCTCAAATCTTTTGCCTAAGCCAAAAAGTGGTGTGTCAGACAAAGATTTAAAAAAAAAAATCTGAAAATGTTAAAGCAAAACTTCACCCAAAGATTTTAATGGAAGTAATTTAAAAAATGTTTAAAATTTACCTAAATAAAACTGAAAGCAAGCTATAATCAATTTGGAACATATTTGTGGATGTGATAAAATCCTGTTGTATTATAATTAATACAAGAATGCTTAAAAAACTAATGATCTAATATTCTTTGGGAAAACGTAACAAAAGAAAAAGTATGTATGGTTTTAAATTTGGTGTAGGGTTTTTTTTTAATCAGAAGATATTAGTATTGGTGTGTAATACAACAAAAAAGACATTATAATTATGAAGCTAAAAATATGATTTGCAAATTAGCTTGATTCTTTGTGAAGAAGACCTTTTCTTTATACAAAAAATTTAAAAAGGAAGAGCTAACTCATTTTTTCCCCCCTTGACATTTTTATTCTATTTATGAGCTTGCCATTTTCCATTGAAGGCAACCATAAATAAGGAATTAGTACAATAGAACATTGAATATTTCATGTTTTCTTAGAGTAATGCAAATTTAAAAAAATCTAGATTTTTATTCAATTTCTACTATTAGCTCACTCTCTGCCTATGTGTATGTTTTATTTTTATATATATATATATATATATATCTTGCTCAAATTTTCAATCATTAATAAAATAC